TCCTATGGGAACAGAGGTTAGAAGAGCCTCAGCCAATGCTGGGGTCCACTGCCCAGAATTCTCCAACATCCAGCCTTGCATAACCCTGAATAAATTGAAAGTTTATTAAACGAAAGAAAAATTGAATGTTGGGCCTTTTTCTTTAACACCTCATCAAATACACATAGTAAATAAAAAATAAAATTGCTGCGTTGGCAACGCACATTTATTTGAAGGTTTATCCAACATTCATCTTCTAAAAACTTTTGTCAACAATTGAGTTTTAGCTTAAACTTCATTCAATATTTCCCCCCCCCCCCCCAACAGCAGCCATCGGCTAAACTAATGATTTTGACAGTGTTTATTACTGATACAGAACTTGGTTAACAAAATTACAGCATCAATTAAGAATTAAGCAAAAAACCATCTTCAATTTGAGAAAATATTCGAAAATAGAGATACTGTGGTTACTACAATAAAATCTTTGTGAAAAATATCACTTGAACAAATTATTCCAACAGTCCAGGTTCGAAAATGCGATGTTTTTCATTGCCTTGAAGAGGTATTTTAAAAATAAGAACATGCTTTTCCATTTGTGCTGAAAAATTACCAAATTGCATCAGGATCCACAGCAGCCAAGGAGTTGTAAACACCTTTCCCAACGGTGTTCAAGTATTGAACAGGGTCCACACCTCCAGGAATCCCATTTTCATTGAAAAGATCACAACTGTACAAGTGGTCTGTTCCAAAATCAGCTATCAGTTGTTTCACAAATGCTTGACTGATTTCAGAATACAGGACACTTCCAGGGTCTAACAAATACAGACTGAAACAAATAACATCAAATACTTCAAGCATATACAAAAAATTCACTCATAAAAATTCAAAACCTAGCACACCAAGAATAATTGGGGCAGTTGAAATTGTTCCATGTAGTCAACTGTCTTGCTGTAGAGCCAGGATTCTTTCTGCAAAAAAAATACCCAACAGCAAAATTGAAAATCCAAAAAATAAACCAAAGCTTGTGCAAATCTCCTCTGAAATCCTGGAGAACTCCTTGTTTAGGTCCTTTTGTCCCGTTGTGTCCGAAGTAGGGGTTCGAAGATGAGGATAGGTTTTAGTACGGGTTGTTTAGGAAAACTAGGAACTCGGTTATTAGTCCGTTTGGACCTCCCCAAGTTTTCATGTTGCCCATCCTGAACCAGGCAAGAAAGGCTGGGCCAGAAAAGAAGTCCTTCATGGTCTCTTCTGAGGCTCCAAAGGATTTGAGGACTTCATTGAGAGTGTATTCATAAGCAGTTGTAGCTAGTGGCAAGTTGATCCCATTCAGTGCCAGCCAGTCAATGTGCTTCTCCCACTCTTTCCATTTCCACCACAGGAAAGAATAACTGTGTGTCACCACATTTGCATAATACCTGTACCTGAAACTGTTGGAAAATATAAGAAGAAAACATCAACTCAAAAGTCCTATATTTTGTGATTGCAACAAACACACAGTCACATTTTTTTCTTGAATATGACTTGAAAATAAATACTGAACCAATATTTTGTTCAGGAAAATTACTGTAGTTGAAGACTCAAGAAGTGAAACAATTTCATTAAATACAAAAAAGACACCAGCAACAATCACTCAAAATACTTACTTTGGGCTTGAATGCCAAAAACAGAAAAATTGAAGTTATATTCATCTTCTGCAAAAAAAGTCAATGGAAAACATCTGGAATCAATGATGTGAGGATATTTTGTAAGAAAAACACTGACTTCTCTAAAAAGTGAAGCTGTTGAACACGTCATGGAATACAGAGAAACATTCTTAAACACTCACTAGAAATAGTTACTTTTTTGAGTTCATAAAACTCAAGAACAAATATGTGCACATTATATTCTTTATAAATTAAATAAATCTAAAACTAATCATGCAAAGAAATTCATATTCATAGAAAAACGTATTTCTTAGCCTCCAGAAATTTCGAGTCATAGAAATTTTCAAAACATTGCTTCCATGAAAAAAGTCTTTCCCTGAAAATTTTTAAAGCTTTAGCCTTCTATAAGCTCAAAAGCTCCAAATTGGCATAAAAAGTCGCAGAAAGCTCACCTCTTCTTATTAGTAGTCGTGTCAAGGGTGAGATAAAGGATGAGACAATTCGAGTGCATTTATTTACTCGTTCTGGTCTTCAGAAAACAAATAAAAAGATTAAATAAATGAGCCAAGATCACTGTCCCGTCCAACTTTACTCACCTCGGAGAGATGTTGATGAGAATATCAACAGGTGGCAAATCCCCTTCAAAGACATTCTCCACACCGAAATTCCAGCTCAAGTGGGTCCCGCAGAAGTGTTTCAGGTAATGATTGAGTCCCCAGGCACACGCAACACCAGAACTGCCAGTAACCACTGCCTGGTCCTCACCATCTGCTTTCAACACCTGCCCAAGAAAAAATGTATTCATTGTCACGCGTTTCAAATTGGTTTTTATTATTAATAGTAAATTACCCCTTGAGTGAAACTTCATGAGAGGCGGTGGAAGAACTCCGTGTTGTCACTGTAATTTTATAAAGCGGTTAAACCCGTGTTGAGAGTCGTGGTCCGGAGAGACAGCATCTGTCTGATCTTGAATGGATGGATTGCAGATCACAGTTGAAGCACTTGAAATCAGCACAAGCCATTTCAATAAAAAATACTTCATGCTTCCTGCTGAAAAAATTTGTTAGAAATAAAATAATTTTGCAAACAACTCAGGCCATGCCTAAAAAAAATCATACCTCATGTATCAGGTGTGACCTACTTGAAACAACTTCTTTTTTAGAAAAAAAATACAATAAGATATTTGGCAGTTTTCTTTTCAAAGACATTTTTTCAATGTCATAGGAAATATTCCAATAAAATCAAACTCGTCCTTAATCAGGGTACTGTGCACTGACATTCCAAGATGTTGTTAATGAAAAAACAGCTCAGAAGGCATCAATTTCAATCAAAATTGATTCAAAGTATAAATCATGTCCCAATTCTGCAAACATGACTTTTTTCACAAATGTTTTTGTGATGAACACAAGCAACTCACAAACCAAAGTTTATTATTCAAGACTTGATTTTAATTTCTGCAGAACTCCAAATCCCTTGTATACTACCTGAAAATATGAAAGCGACCAAAAGATGGAAAATTCAACATGTTTCTCACAAAACCCTTGGATTTTACCCAAGAAACCTGTCCATGTACTTTAAAGAGAAAAATAAAGGAATGTGGCAAAATATTTGACCCATTATGGATGAAAAACTTCTCTGCAGAGCATTTCCATATTTGCAAATATTTATTGAATGATTTTAATTTTGTCTGGGGACTAAAAGTACCAAATCCTTCAATGGAGTCATCATTACCGCCATTGAATCATTCAACAATTGCATGAGTACTTCAGTAGGTCACACCTCACATAATTTTCCACAACCAAGTTATTCAAAATACTATACAGTAAAACCTTGCTGCAACAAATCCCAATGGGTCATAAAAAACCTTAATCACAAAAAACTTCCATAAAATTTTGGCTGAATTACAGGAACTTTGAAATAATTCATAGTACACAAGAATGTGTTGTAACAAGATTTTTTCACTGTGGTGAATTTAAACTTGTCAGTATAATCAATTAAATTGGTTCACATTCCTTTACTTTCACAAGAGTTTATTTGTAACCCCCACAGCACTCCCGAACAGATCACACAAATGTTCACCAGAGATCCAATGATAAAAGATAGATTTGTCATTTGTCTGCACTTCTCTATGGCCACAAAACTGAAGTTCTTGTGAGAAAATACACTGTGTTGCCAAAGGATAAAATCACGTAAATTGCTTGAATTATTCACTGCTTTGCTCATGAATAATATAAGAAAAGTGTTTGTCAAACCATGAGCACAATTATTTTTCATATTGATAATACGGTATATTTTTAACTGTACAATGATTGATCCAAAAGCTTTGAAACTTTTCATTCATAGAATCCATCATGTCTAATACTGCCTTAAAAAATATTTTTTCAATTAGCTTAAAGACAAGAACTTGGATACATAGTTAAAAACCTGAAAGCTATCCTAAACCAAATTTATTTAATTTCCTTGTCAACAAAAATTCATTGAAATTGCCATAAATTATCTTCAACAGCTCTGAATAGTTTTCATACAAGGAATAAATACAGGAGAATATCTTCACATCGAAGCGTTTCGGACCTTAAAAAAGCACAAAGTCGTTCAAACGAAATTAAAATAACACTGCGTCTATTAAAAATATTATACCGAGAAACAAACTCGTTGTAAGCATTAATTCGTTATAAAGAGATTATACGGTATGAGAAACCTTTTTCAAATTTTCCTACAATCACTCTATTTACTGATTTGAATAATAACATCCCATAACACTTTTTCCAGCAGAAAGTTTCTTGCAACTCAAGAATTTTTCAAATGGCCATAAAGAAGTGACATTTTCTCTTGTTTCCAATAAAATATAACACTTAAAGCTCTGAAAGGGGGGAAAACAGAACCCATTCGAAGGACTTCACACAGAAGCTGCTGGTCCCAACATTCCAGTGAGTTCCGCAAGCTGAACCATCCCATCGAAGTTGGCATCATACTGCTCCAGAGTGTCGTCCACAAACTCGGCCAGGTCTTCATCAGAATGCACCACGCGTCTGAGATGGTCCATGTCCGGACCATCAGCACCCAACAACTCATGAACGTGTTCATGAAACAAAGTTTGAAGGATCTCAACACCGTCTAATGCCCCATTTTTATCCGTATCGAATACGTTGAAGTAAGCCATGGCTTGTTCCCTCGGACTCAGGTCGGAGATCTTCACATTGGGTCCGTAATGGGACAGGATTTCGTTTTCACTTGGACTGAACGAGGCTTGATGCTCGTGTCCATGATCGAAACCACGACAAACGCTAAACAGAAGGAAGAATCTCCACATTCTGAACGACGAAGAACACCTGAAAAGAAAAAAAAACAAGCGATGCAATCTTCGAAATTCTTTTTCGGATTTCAAGATCTCCATTTCATAAATTTACGTAACGGCCTAAACCATTCACACCAGCACAGATGGACCTCCGAGCCCAAATTGTTGATCGAAACTAACGCTTTACACATATTTTAACACTCCGAATTCATACACTGACCCAGAATCATCGAAGGGTTCTTATTCTAGAGAATTTCAGTTTAAAACGTTCGTGAAGAGCAGAAAAACTATATTAGCACGCACTGGAAATTATTCAAGATACGCAAAATATTCACAGAATGACGATCTTACACGGTAAAAAACACGGCACGGCAAGGATAAAAGTCCCATCACTTGTCTAAGTCTGCTTCATGGCAGCGATTTTTGCACTCTGGGCTCTCACGAACTCCGGGTAATCAATGAACCCGTCGCTGTTGGAATCATCGGAATGCAGGATTGGATCAACGATTGATTCCAATTCCGCATCCGGAAACAACTTTGGTTCAGGCCCGGTGCCTTGACCTTGTTCATGATTTCGCGGATCGTGCCAATGGATCACGGACTTGACGAGCTCCAAACCGTCTAGCATGTTGTTGTTATCCGTATCGTGCATCTTAAAGTAATGGAACTGAAGCTCCTATGTAAGGGAGAAAACGACACGAGAATCACTGAGTTTGACACGAAGAGAAGAATGCTTTGAGCTTACTTGTTCCGACATTTTGTTGGCATCGACTGGCACGTCGTAGTGGTGCTGAATGTCGGCTTTGTGATGTTCGATGTCGAGGGGGCGACCCGCATAACGCGCTTCATGATGTGGCGAAAGAGGGCGGCGATTTTCCGCCTCCACGGATTCGTAGTGAGCGGGATTCACTCCAGGTACAGTTCTGTCTGCGTGTGTCAACGTCACAATGACGCAGAAACTCAGTATCTTTCTCCCTGTCACCAGCATTTCGATTAACACACTTTCTGACGATGGATAGAAAACGTTGCACGGTTCATTCACATTCTTCGACAACCAGAGCATCAAAACAGATCATAGGAAGACCTCAGAGAAGGTCCACCAGCTACGGCGTTGGTTGACCAAGATTTTATTTCCTCGGCGACTGTATCGGCATTTACGCATTAAGCATATGGTTCACACTCCTAACAAGAAGTTAAGGAAATATACACTGCTTATCGCATCTTCTAAATAAGTTGTGACCCATTTCATCGAATGAATAGAGCGAAGGTTGTGATTCTTCTTCCACTTGAACAAATCGCCGGAAACTTGAAAGCGATGACCCGGTGACATGAAGGCGGCCATGTGTGACTGTAAGCTAACGTACTGTATATATGTCAAAGAGCATCCAAAAGGTTAGCTTTCCACTAGGAAATTGTCTAAATTTAAAAATATTTTGTCCTTGACCTTCGAATTTTTTGTAGACGAAGTCCATCTGCATCTGTTTACTGCACCAAAATGTCGGCTCGTTTTTGTCAAGAAATACAAATCTCAAGCAATTGAAATCACGTGCATTTCCACCAAAAAAACACTCCAGAATAATACAGATCATTGGGCCATACTTCAATTTTAAATGCACTGCAAAGAAATTCCCCAGCAGATGGAAAAAATCAAGCCCAGTTCATATACCAAGATTCCTTCAGATGAAGTGGTCATCAAGTTTGTTCATGCTGCTGGGACAAATCTGAAGATGTCCTGGCAACATTATCAGAGATTATTAAAAATGGGTTGATTTATTATAGTTAATGTCAAAGTTTAGTGTCATAATCCCATTCCTCGTCTGCGGTACAAAGTTCTTCAAGGGACCCAACTGAAGTTGCCTGTCCAGGGAGAGTGATCTCAGCAGGTGAGAAAGTGAAGCAGACATTTTGAAGAATAGGATTGTTTTGCCTTGTGAAAGCTTTTGCTTCTTCAATGGTCTCAGGAAGGTCTGCACCTTGTGTCTCAGGCAAGGTCAATGCAAACCCTCCTGCCATGATTGAAGCACCTCCAAAAACAAACAATGGAATTGCTGGTTGTCCATATTTCTAACAAGGAAGAAAAAAATGCCACAACCAATCAGAAACATCCAAAGCAAAGCTTATACAGTACAATACATTGAATCACTTTACCATATGGGCAATTTGTGGGGCAACAATCCCACCAATTCTCCCAAATGTTGCCGCAGTCCCAACACAGGCATTCCTGATACAAGTTGGATAAAGTTCAGCTGTGTATTGGTACTGAAAAAAATTATTCATGAAACTCAGGCAGACAAAATGGTGAAGAAACTTTCTTATTATATTCTCACAGCAGTGTTTGCAGCAGCTGTTATGCATAGTTTTGACATCAATGAGAATCCAGTTTTCCAATGGATAGCATAACCTAGTGTGATTTGTAATTTTGATCATTATTATTGATTTTATCCAAGATGATCAATAAAATATTGTTCACTGTTGGGAAAGAATCCTCCACAGATGGATGCAATGCCTCCAAGGGTTAAAAATGCAGCAAATGGCAGCCTTCTGCCATATTTCTCAAGCAAAACCATGGTCACAACATCTGCAGGCAGCTCAATAAGTGATGACAGCAGTAATCCAAGATAAGGATTTTCTGCCAAGTCTGTGGAACTCATGGTTAATCCATAGTACACCATTGAGATCACAAACCTGCCAATACACAAATCTTTCTCCATCCTCAACCACTGTGAATAACAAACAAAATTCCCTTTATGGGTCTCACCAACATGTACAGATATTGAAAAACTGCCAAACCATGGCCTTGTCTTCCAACAGTGAGTGTATGGAACCTTTTGTTTGACCTCCAGCAACAGCCAACTGTCAGAATTTGACTGTACACTTTTAAACTTATGGAAAATATTTAAAGCTTGTTTCTTACCTGAGACTTTTCATGAACCTCTGGGTCATCTGGCATCAGTCTTTTTGGAACAGTTGCGCCATTAACTTTTGCAATGTGTTCAATGATACTACAGGCCTTCTTCACATTTCCTCTGGCCAAGAGAAATCTGGGAGACTCTTCCATGAACCTCAACAGTTAAAATTGTCATTAGACCATGATAAAAATTGTGCATAGAATGAACTGCAAAGTTTTTAAATACTACATGACATTGGATCTAAATTCGGAGCCAATTGAATGCAGAAATAAAATTTGCAACACAGTTCAATTTAATGGGAGAGTTTAAAAAATTCAAATTATATCAACAGAAAAGACTAATTGGCAATTCAAAATGGCATACCAACTGATTTTGAGTTAATTATCCCAGGTATTCTCAGATTTCCACCTGTTCACACCTTTCTGAGACTCAAAATTAGTATAAAATATTTCCATCAAAGCATCCAATCATGATTAAAATTTGCTGTTTAGTACTGTACACATAACCAATCCCTATATATGGTCACAGATTCTTGAATTGTGTATTTGGACAAAAGCAGGCTAGAATGGACAAGAATAGAGTATGAGTGAGACTTTAAAAAAAAAACTAGTATTCTAAAAGTGAAGGAGGAGTTACTGAACCACCAAACACACACCAAAAGTAGAAGACAAAAAGTACACCACATGCATGAACAATCAACTCAAGGGAGAAGTAATCCCTGAAGTAGTAAGCCAGTCCTGAAAGCAAAGCTCCACCGAGTCCAACCCAAATTTGCACAGCTTGAGCAACAAATGTCCTTTTTGAAGGCCCTGTGACTTCCATCACTACAATTTACAACAGTATAAACTATATAACTACATGAAGTGATTGACACACCATTATAAAATATATATATACATGTATGAAGATTTTTAGAGGCTCACACAATATGTAGGCACTTTGGAAAACACCCCTTTCTCCAATCCCTGACACAAATCTGCAGGCCACAAAAGCCACAGGGTGTGGAATATAGGCTGCTATGAACCCTGGTGTGACTCCCATGAGAGTGTACAACAACAATGTCAGCTTCCTTCCAATTCTGATGATGAATCATTCATCAGTTGATATGACCAGAAACTTTTTTTTCTTCACATAATTATCAAATACTACAGTACAAGACAGGAGAAAAGTTCATATCACCTATCAGCCAACAGTCCACTGGTGAAAGCTCCAATTAGGGTCCCTGCCATGTACACAGATCCAATAATGGGATGCCAGTGCTGCCTGTCACACACTAAATTGAACTGAGGTGATTTGTGATCATCAGCACCTTTTTTGTTTTCCTCCCAAGAAAATTTAACAAAGCCAATAAGGTGCTTCCCAAAAGTTTTAGAAATCAACTTTATACATTAAATTAACACAACAATAGAATCTTATTGGCATAAAGTTGATACTTTCTCATTTTTTTCTGTGAATAAACAATTTCTGAAGTCTCTTGAGCAGCAGAAACTCTACCAAATTTAATCATGATATTAAATGTTACAAAATTCCACTATACATTCAATGTCAAACTATCAATATCTAAAACTTTTGATATTTGTTGATAAAAATTTGTTTGTCTAAAAACAGAAAAAAGTGCAATTTTTTTGAAAATGATATCAAATACTAATGTCTTTTTATAAGGGACTTCACAAAATTTTCACATATATAGTGGATCAATTGAAAAAATGTTTTGAGACCAGATGACTGCCATTATTATTATAAAATACGGCATGAATAAGATTTGAAAGTACTGCACTGATGTATTGTGATTATACCAGAACAGCAGGGCTGAAAATTTTGTATCCCTGATTTTAAGGGGAAAATGTTCAAAGCTATGCATATTTTAAAAATCTTTCCCCACTGTTTCTCATTGGAAATTTTTTCAAAGCAAGTCCTCAAAATTCAAAAATGATGAGATTTTACAAGACAGCACCTGCAATTATTATACATACTGTATATAGAAAACAAAATTTCTTAAAAACTATCCTGGAAAATCAGAAATGATATAAAAAAATCAGCTGACCTTGGAGACAATTGTGTTGAATCTCACAGAAGTGTCATACACAAAAGTGTCACACTTTTCAGTCTGATTGGTCCATTCAGAAGGTGGACACTTGAATTCACATTTGGAATCATTCATGGGATTCCTCATCATGTCATCATCAGGTTTTGAAACACATCCAATGGGGTGTTTGAATCTGTAGCATTTTGAATGGGATCCAGTTTCTGGGTCCATGGGGATTGTCCAATTTAAGTAGCAGGGTTTGAAGTCTACTTTTGAGTCCAAGGAATCACAGTCAACTGAGCACCTAAAAAGAATATTCAAAGTTTGATTTATTTTTAAATTCACATCATTTTTTCAATTTTTCACAGTATTAATGCAGTTTTTATTCACATTTAAAAAAGAATTCCCCATCAAAAAACATTTTTCATATTTATTCACACTATTTCAGGATTTGAAAATTTTAAACTAATAAATTGACAAATGCTGCATAAATAAAATGAGAAATGTGAAAATACCTGTGAGCAGGAATGAGTCCCACAAAGGAAAATGCAAATGTAATCATGAAGACCCAACTGGCAGCCAGTCCACACAAAACCAGCATCTTTCTCTGGTACCTGCCAAACTCTCCAATCTCCACCAAAATGGTGTCAATGTTGAACTTTTTAAGTTTCTTCTTCACTTTCTTCTCCTCAGCAGTGGCCATCTTTGTGCACAGTCTTCCAAAATTTTGACAGATGGAAAAATAAAATAAAAATTAGTAAAGGGAAATCTATTTGAGTATACTTTGAAAGAAGGCAAATCACATTATTTGTAATACATGCAAGGGTTGATGCAAAAGTTTGATCAGTCTGAACATAATCATCTTTTTTAGAAAATTCTGTTGGACACACATACAATTTGCATTTTCACAGCCTCCATTATTGATTTTTCAAGAAGAAATCATAACATGTTCCTCAAAAAAGTTTGTTGTACTGTATACTGAAATTGGCAAGTTTGTTGTAATGACATTTTTATGACATGTGCTCCATAGGATTTCTGCTAGGACTACTTGGAAACAAATTTGTTCTACTCA